AAGTGGACCCACACAATTCAAACCCATATTATTCCAGCGTCAACTATACTAATAAATGCCTGAAATATATCTGGAAAGATTATCCAACTAAATAGAAATGCAATTAATTACTTTACTTTGCTATAAAAAAGACAGATGGAATGAGCTGTTTAAATAATCATAATTCATAATAAAATGTGCAGCTGGATCCATTTGCATTGTTATTTTCCTGATGGGAAAACTCAGTTTCAAAGACAGTGCTTGCTTGTAGTCCAGGAATGGAACTTCCCTGGAAACTGAATCACTACCAGGTAAATGGTGGGAATGGATTCCAGCAGCCGGTGAGGAATCCTGACTTGGAGTAGCTTCAACCTGACACCCACCAGAGAGCCATGGGTTGTTAGGTCATTTTTCAAAAATTTGCAGTTCTTTCTGCTACCCCATATTTGCTTGAGAGTGTATAAAAACAAATATAGGCATGAGCAAGCAAAGAAAAAATTATTTTTATTCTAAGGGACTCAGAAACTGAGGCTGAGACTCAGAAATCCAAGATGAACACCTAGCCCAAGTTTCCCAATTAAGTAGAATTGATGGAAGAGATAAAAGGTGGGTTCTTTAAAATATCCCAAAGACAGATAATTCAAGCACAAACAAACTTTCTGAAACTTTGGCTAAATTTTTCAAAAAAAAGAGAATTTTTTAAAAGGATATGGTCATTGTTGAGAGCTAATTATTAGTATGGGAGATCAAGTGGAAAAAATGATTGGAAATCATGAGAGGCTAGTTACCTAGGTGAATAACAGCAGCTTATGAAGGAAAAGGAGAATAGATAGAAAACAAATAATAATAATAAGCAAGAGAAGAGCTTTTTCCTACACTGAGGAAAATCACCAATCTGTAGATTAGAAGGACTCACTAAATCTTAGGGAGATTAAATGAAAAAAGGCATATCCTGGTGTCCTTCCTTGGTTGCAAGCATAAAGAAAATACCTTTTGAATACTCTGAAATGCTTAAATAACCTGCAAAACCAAGACAGATAAATATGTTGCTCACTTGATGACTCATCTAAAAAATTGGAAAGTAAAAAGTAAAAAGAACAGCAACTTAAGAATCTGTGTGCAGCCAAAATATTCATGTCAGAGTTAAAAATGTCTTTTAGATAGGAAAGGATTAAGAGAGTATACAAGCCTTGATGTTTCTTTGAGGAAACTACTCCAAAGTATCATAAAATAAATTCATCTCAATCCACAGGAATAGATAAGAGAAGATGAAAGAAAAGTGGTGATAAAAATGTCAAATGAGAACCTTTAAAAAATCAAGAACTCCAGAAACTATAATTTAATTTGTGTATGATCTTGGGAAAAGCAGGAGTGTGATATCAATAGAGAGCATGAAAGAAGGTGTGTGATATCGATGGAGAGCAGGATGATAGAAGCACTTTGAAGTGTAGAGTGGCAAGGTGTGAGGAATAAGTGTGTAAGCAAATTTGCCTGAGAGAGGAGTTTACAACGATTCCAATTAAATGCAATAGTAAAGAGTATAGGCTGATTTATGATCATTGGGATAATCTGGAGGATTAGAAACACAGAGTAGAACATCCGAATTAGCAAGGAGGGAGTAGAAATCAATAACAGTTTGACCAAGCCAGAAGAGATAAGAAAAGGTTTAAAGATGAAATAAGAATGACATTCACACAATAAATAGGAAATGTAAGACCAACTATAACTTCGGTACATTAAATATGGACAGGTTGAATTTTCCCATCCAAAGACCTAGAAAACTTGATTATGTTTAAACACAAAATCAAGTATTATTAGGAAACGCATATAAGGTGGTTCCAAACGGTAAAACAACTAAAAATGGCACCTAACTATTAAAAGATTTAAAATACTTAGCAGAATGTGCGAAAAATTAAGGAATAGTCTAAAGGGCAGATGATGTGAGTGCAAAATGCCCAATGGTGACTTAAGCCAGTGGCTGCCCTGAGGGCATTTGCATATCCTTGTCACCTAGAACTTGTTTCAGGACTGGAGAAAAGGCTATGTGCGGTGAAATGTCAGAGCAGAGAACCTCATGTAACATCAGGGCACAATGAGAGTAGGAAGTAACCTGGCAAACTTCTGTCTTGACCTTGACCCCACGTGGGTGGAAAAAGAGTAAGCTTTACTGAAAATGTGGAGGCACAATCCTGCCCTCATATGGGATTGGTGGTCCAAGTCACATTACTTTTAGGGTCTGAGAAACATCAGCTACAAAACTGATTTAAAGGGGGTACCAAATATATAAGATAACCCTTGAACCTTGACAGAACCAGTCCTTTCTGGAAAAATGTACTTTAAACAAAGTTCTTGAAAATCTAGAAAAAAATTATGA